GCCCATTTTCCAAATAAATTTGTATGAGGGATTTACAGCCAATTTTCCAAAACAAAAAAAACTTGGGTACATGTTTTGAAAATGGAAAATAATTTTGGTTAAAATAAGAGATATATATATATGATTTAATATATTTCTATATCGATACTTTTCACTATTTGATGTTTAGATTGATAAATATAATTACATGCAAACTATTTTTTTCCCTCTGTAATTATTCTGGCATTTTCATTCTTTTATGCTTGTCCAACCAAAGCTCAACATACGCCATTCTGCTCTTATACATTCTGCAATCTCAAACTTTTCCCCATTAATTTTCTGATTAGGTCATTTTTTTCTTGAGAAAAATGTTGGCTGTGTCTCGGTACGATTCAGAATTTAAACCTATTATAGATCATGCTAATTTGCCTAACCATAATGCTACCTAGGCATAGTGATGAAAAAAAGATATAAATTAAGTGAACAATAATAAGAGTGAGCCAAATTAAACAAGATATAAATTAAGAAAATAATAATAAGAGTGAGTGAGTGACAGAGTGATGAAAAGACGGAACGGCTAGTCTTCCAATAGAAAAAGATAGATGAAATATATAGCCACTTGTGTAATTAACATATGTATATATGTATTCATAATTTTTCTTTGTGTTCTTATCGTATCACTTGTATTATATATGTGCACTGTATATATATTTAATTAGTATACTTAATGAACTGAAGTATACATGAACTCTGTTTTTAATGCACGTATTGTCATTTGCAGCTAAGTACAGGAAAAAGCCCTTTGGTCCGCTTGGTGTGAAGGGGATGATTTCACTTTTGGTCGTTTCTATATTACTTGTAATTTTTCTGGTGACCTCTTTCGTATATTGTTTTATAAAGAACAAGAAACAAGGTACTATAAATTCTTTTCCCTAATCTTACTTGAACAATCCCTTTGACCAATCTTTTCATTAGAATCATCAATATATATAGTTGGTAATTAATACAGGATCAAAACTCACTCAATGCTTTCTATATATGCAGCAAGAAGAAGGCATAGCAAAAGTTTGCTTGACTACAACTTTGAGAAATCTCCTAGTATGGATGAGTTTGACAGTGGGAAAAATTCTGATTTACCGTTGTTTGATCTTATAGACATTGCTGCAGCAACCGAGAACTTCTCTGATGCTAACAAGCTTGGACAAGGCGGATTTGGATCGGTTTATAAGGTACTTTCTCCAGTGCTAATTAATATAATAATTGGATAACTTATTTGTAGAAATTAAGAAAATTAATGAGTTAGTTATTCATAAAAAAATGGGCGTTAGTTTTTCATGAAGTGTCTTTTCTAATTATTTGCATTAAAAACTACTTCTTAGATGGAAACTCCTTTTAATATGTACAATTAATAGGGAGAGTTTTAAAAAATAATTATAAATTTTGGGATAAAGTGGATTCAAAATTTACATTTAAGACTAAAGTAAATTAAATCTTACATTTGAGACTGGAAGGGGTATATAGTCATTCTTCTATGGCAAGTTTTAAATTTTATAAATTCATCAAATTGTTTAGGGTTTATAGAAAAAACCTAAGAAGGACATTCACTGATTGTGGATTTCGACTTCATTAGGGTCTACTTAGTAATGGAATGGCAATAGCAGTGAAGAGGCTATCAAAATACTCTGGACAAGGCATTGAGGAGTTCAAAAATGAGGTTGTTTTAATTGCGAAGCTCCAACACAGAAATCTTGTGAGAATCTTGGGTTGCTGCATACAAGGAGAAGAGAAGATGTTGATCTATGAGTTTCTACCAAATAAAAGTTTGGACTTTTTCATATTTGGTAAGTCACGTACGTTTTTCATGTTTCTAAGTTGACCATTTTCAATAATTTCATAAAATATTAATATATAGGATTGATCATCAAGGTTACATTATGTTAATGACTGCTTCAAAATTCAGATCAAGAAAGGAAATTACAACTGAACTGGAGCAAACGGTTTGAAATCATATGTGGGGTTGCAAGGGGAATTTTATACCTTCATCAAGATTCAAGATTGAGAATCATTCATAGAGACTTGAAGGCCAGTAATGTCTTGTTGGACTCTGCTTTAAATCCAAAAATTGCAGATTTTGGTATGGCTAGAATATTTGGTGGAGATCAAATTGAAGCAAACACAAAACGTGTCGTTGGAACCTAGTATGTATTGCACTATTCAAGCATATCATTACGTCTCGACATTATGTTACATAGAGCTCCTATTTCCCTGAGTTAAAACATAAATATACTACTGATGGTTAACTATCTTCCAAAGATTAATGCAAAACAATGCATGATCAGTACTTAAACAGATTAGGTTTTTTTAGTGGAAATTATTCCTAGACTTCTGTCCACATGCTAATCTTGATTCTCAAAATCAAACAAAACTTTGAAAATGAGGTTCGTGGAGTTGTAAATTTCTGTAACTTAGTATTTTAACCATTTAAATTGAATTTTTCATTGAGATATATGACTATTCTTTTTTTTTTTCCCCTTGTAGTGGTTATATGTCACCAGAATATGCAATGGAAGGACTATTCTCAGTAAAATCTGATGTATATAGTTTTGGAGTTTTGCTTCTAGAGATTGTTACTGGCAAAAAGAATAGTGGTCATTACGATGAAATTACCTCAACTCTGGTTGGACATGTGAGTATTCTATTAGGAACAACCAATCTAAGATTAAATTCATATCTGAACAATCTAATTATTTAGTATCTTTCAATTCATTCAGATTTGGGACTTGTGGAGAGAAGGGAGAGCTATGGAGATAATTGATTCATCATTATCAATAGACGAGGCATGCCTTAATGAGTTTCTAAAATGCATACAAATTGGGCTTCTTTGTGTGCAAGACTATGCAGCAGATAGACCAACTATGTCTTCAGTTGTTTCCATGTTGGGAAATGACTCAACTCTTCCATCTCCAAAACAACCAGCATTTATTTTCAAAAGAAATAATACTGGTGAAAGTTCAAATCCATCAACTAGTGAAGGAGTTAATTCAGTAAATGAGATGAGTACTACAGTGATCGAAGCTCGCTAAAGGCCATGACTCTCAAATAAACATACGTGATACTTTGTGTTCTTGAAGGGCTACTGCTTGTGAGTCAGATAGGACTTTTTAAGTTGGTTTGTGAAGGGTTGCATATAAGAGTGTGGTAGTTTGTTGCCACACACACACACACACACACACGTATATATATGTTGCCGAACATGCTGTATGATAATTATTCATATGTTGTTGAATTCACGTGTGTATACATAGTAAGGGGTAAAAATTGTCATCATAACTAGATCTGCATGTCATTGTTAAAAGTGGGGAATTAAAAATAAGAATCTTTTTAAGTTGCAACATTTTTTTATTACATATATGCTGTAGATTTCCTTTTACTATATGGACTTATTGGAAGTTAAAATATCTGCATTTGTGATAAAAATGTCAACGTCTCTTCCACATGAAGTTGAAGGAGTGTGCATCATTTAAGTTTTAGAGTGCACCTCTAAAAACCACATCCAATTTGATATAGGTTGATGATAAGATAGATATAGTACTCCCTCTAGTCGTTATAAGTTGGGAGAATTAGAGTCAGATTCTAAGGAAGAAATTTAATTACTTTAAAGTTTATTGACAATTAAAAAGCATGCAATGACAAGTTACTGGTCAATTGTTATTGGAATTTCTTGGTAATTAAATTCCTTGTCTGGAAATTCATGATAATTTTCCTCCCTGTAAGTTTGGCTAAAATATCTGTTATATGAAGAACAATCTGAGCAGTACATTGATTCATTCGCGGTTCAAGGTCCACCATGGCTTTGGTTTACGTTTTAAGACCCTAAGTTATGTTTGAAGTGAAGTTTTGACGGTTTTTAGTCCCACTTAGGTAATTTTTACATCCGATGGAGTCTTTGTGTGATGAAACAAAAGCCATCTTTTCATAAACTTCACATGGACGCCTGAATCACCAAAATGAGAGTTGTGCAGTAAAATCTACAAATTGTTGAATTGTGGATTCGACCTGTTTCTGGTCTCTAATGAACCCAATTGCACAGTCATGTTCAGCTTGGATTTTAATTTTTAAGAGGCACTTGGCAATGCTTTTTCAATAATATTGACTTTGGCGTCCAACTTTTTACTATAGATTTTGAATTTGGGCTTTCTACTTCGGCTGTGTTTGGTATAAGCAAAATGAATAAAAGGGGAAAAAATTATAATGTAAAAAATTTTAATTAATTTTCATATTTTTCTCATCTTACATCTTTTTTTTTTTTATAAAATTTTATAACTTCACTTGTCTAATTTTTTAAATCAAACTCAATAAAATTTTCCTTCCCCTTTCCTTCCCACAATTTCCCTGATACCGAACATCTTGGTTCATATACAATCTAAACTTAACTGCAGAGACGATGATCTGATAGTGAGCACGGATGCTATGAACTTTCATTTAGATCAATTTTTTCCCACTTTCTCATATAGGGTAAGCATATTTTATGAAAAGTTCATGGAAACGTGAGTATAGTCACTTAAAAAAGAAAGCCCAAAATAACTTTAAAGTAAACTAGCGTGCGTACCATAATTGTTAACCTGTCAACTCTAAAAGTTAAAAAATTTTGGGTGGCATGAATTTTTTTTATTTATTTTATATTTTCCTGTCACTCTCTTGACGAATAACCCCAGAGAAACACCTCTCAAAGACGGCAAGCTTTTGGTCTTGGATGCTCCAGCCTATGCCATCGGTTTCTTCTTCAGAGCAGGCATTTATACCAAAGACTTTGACAAGTCTCTGGTATAAATGACGTGAGCAAAGACTAGAGACTTGAATGCTAACCACTAATTCCACATGCAAGAGGGCCACTTTCTCCATTGACCACAAAGTCTTCGAAGAGGTAAGAGGGAGAGAGAACTATATATGAATAAAAACACACAATTTGCATCCAAACCATTTGAAGGAAGATCTAAAACCTCAGTGGTATGTTCATTACCATGATGAAGCACTTTTCTGTTAAGATTCCATTTTTCCTTCTCTTCCTCCTCTATTCTTCTTGTCGGTCCCTAAACACAATATCCACAAACCAGCCCCTCAAAGATGGCGACGTATTGCTCTCTAAGGGAGCAATATTTGCCCTCGGTTTCTTCAGCCCCAATAATAACTCCAAGAACCGCTACCTCGGAATATGGTACAACAATGTTCCGAAACAAACTGTTGTTTGGGTAGCTAACAGAGGCAATCCTTTGAATGATACTTCTGGAGTTTTCTCTATCAACATCCATGGAAACCTGGTTCTTAACCATACCAATCGAAACCTCAACCCCATTTGGTCTACCCATGTTTCGGTCTCATCATCGCCCCTTGATAGCTTTGCTAAACTTTTAGATACTGGCAATTTGGTTCTAAGAGATAGAGGAGGAAGGCAAAAGGTTCTATGGCAGAGTTTTGATTATCCCTGTGACACTTTGCTTCCGTTTGCGAAACTTGGTTTGGACCGAAAAGCCGGTTTGGACCGGATCTTGACGTCTTGGAAATCCCCTGATAATCCATCACTTGGAAGTGTAACCATGAGGATAGACCCGACAGGATATCCTCAAGCTTTCATGTATAAAAACGGAGTTCCATTCTGGCGGGTCGGGTCATGGGCAGGTCAAAGATGGAGCGGTATTGTCGTGATGAAACCCGACCCCGTCTTGTATGTGGTCTTTATTAACAACGCCAATGAAGTTACTGTAATGAATGGCGTCAAAATGCTCGAGGACCCTTCTATCTTCATAAGAATTATGCTCGAGGAAACGGGTCGGATAACAAGAACCATTTGGCTAGCTCAAGAAAATAGATGGCTTGAAGTCTGGTATGATCCCACAGAAGAATGCGATAGATTTAGAAAATGTGGATCAAATAGTATTTGTGATCCTTATAATAGTAAAAAGTTTCAATGTTTGTGTCTGCCTGGATTCGACAAGAACCTAAGAAATGGATCAGCAAGCGGGTGTGTGAGGAAGAAAAATGTGTCCACGTGTCGAAGTGGGGAAGGGTTTGTGAAGGTGGCAAGTTTGAAGGTGCCAGAGACGTCGAAGGCACTTGTGGATAACAATGTGAACATGAGCTTGAATGGTTGCAAAGAGAAATGCTTGAAGGATTGTTCATGTAAAGCATACACAAGTGTGAATGAAATCACGCAGAGAGGTTGTTTGACATGGCACAATGACATGGAAGATATTAGAAAATTTAATGGCGGGGGACAAGACTTATACGTGCGTGTGGATGCAGTTGAGTTAGGTATGTATTCTTATTCACAACTTTATTTCTATTTTTATTAGTTCAATATATTCTTGTTTGAGTCATTGGGGACATAAATGCAAAAATACATATCGGCATGGTATTAAAATAGAACCCAAATTGGCTAAATGATTTGGTCTGGAGTTTTGGGCAAGTCGACCATGTTGGATTTTATATTTGTTTCTCACATTGTAAAATACAAAATGATGTTGTTTTGAGTTAAGAAAATAATAGTCCATCATATTTACGTTTAGTAATTCTGTTTTGTTTGATTTTATCTGGTTTATACATGAATTATCCTTTTCCTTGTGCATTAATGCATTTTTTTATTTGAATATTACTCTTTTGATGGTCGTATATGAATTTTTTTTATGGGATATATATGAATATTATTGCATACTTTATTTAAATTACAATATTTTAATCATAACTGGGCTGACCAATTGGACCACTAATCTTAAAACTAGAGTCTCATTTAGTTTAATAACCAATCTGACTTTTAGCACATTGGAGTATAGATTCTCTCCGTCAGGTCTCCTAGACATCCTAGTCCTCTCTTCACTTAGGTGGTCCAGGACAAAAATCGAATTCTCTCCCTATGTATAATTTTTTTTTGTAATGCTACGCACTTACCATAATAAAGCATGCAAATTACCAGTATTATCCATGTACTGTATAATGTACTTTAAACTTTGATGGATATACACTTGCGGATTGCCCATGAAAACTTATTATTTGCAGCCAAATATGAAAGGAAGCCCTACGGTTCTCTTGGCAAGAAGGGGTTGGTGACAATCATAGTTCTCTCTACTTTGTTGTTTATACTTGTGACGACCTCTTTCTTGTACTGGTTTGCAAAGAAACGGAGGCATGGTAAGCTAATTAACTCAATTGTATACGTATTGAAGTATATTATATATATATATATATATATATATAATTTCCCTCTCTTCCCTACAATATACTTAATCTCTTACTTCAGGATGATTAAATGGATCACAACTCATCTGTTATTATCTCTTGATCCAGCGGCGAAAGGAACACATACCAACTATGTGCTTGATAGAGAACGCAATTCAAATTTATTATTATTCAATCTAAGTGACATAATTGAAGCAACAAACAATTTCTCTGTCGCTAACATGATTGGAAAAGGCGGTTTTGGATTTGTTTACAAGGTAAGAATTCTTCTGTAACTAGTTTCAAACTTCATTAATTTTGACCAAGGCATACATACATACATACATACATACATACATACATACATACATACATACATACATATTTTCCTGCTTTATAGAAAGACAAACAGGGCCCAAAAGGGACAGTTTTCACAGTTATAGTTTATTGCAAGAAATTAAAGGAACATGTGTGCATACAGTTGTATACATGACTATAATATGGATTTTGACTCCAGGGCATACTCCGTGATGGAATGGAGATAGCAGTAAAGAAGTTGTCAAAGTATTCTGATCAAAGCATTGAAGAATTCAAAAATGAGGTTGCTATAATGACAAAGCTCCAACATAAGAATCTTGTAAGGATCTTAGGTTGCTGCATACAAGGAGAAGATAACATGTTGATCTATGAATATTTACCAAACAAAAGCTTGGACTCTTTCATTTTTGGTATGTTCTTTTCATTTTATCATGTGAAGTTTTCATCTTTGATAAAAAAAAAAGGTAAATTGATCAATTCTCATTCATAATTATATCAAAATTTTTATTCAGATCAAGCAAAAAAATTACAACTAGATTGGAGGATGCGATTTGATATCATTTGTGGGATTGCAAGAGGGATCTTGTACCTTCATCAAGATTCAAGATTAAAAATAATTCATAGAGACTTAAAGGCTAGCAATATCTTGTTAGACCATGCATTGAACCCGAAAATTACTGATTTTGGTATGGCTCGAATATTTGGTGAAGATCAAATTGAAGCAAGCACAAATCGCGTTGTGGGAACTTAGTAAGTACTCTTTAACGCAAATCATCACTTCTTTTGTCTTATTATGTTATGTAGGATTATACTTTTTACAATTTTAAAAGAATGAAAAAATTTAATTAATTGTTGAGTTGCAAGGATCTCGGACGTTTATCAATATATCTAAGTATAGTGTAAATTTTGACCAATATGTTAGACATCACAATAAATCTTTAGTACTTGCACTTAACAATTTTAAGTATTTTAAATTGAAGTTGTTTTGATAAGTTTCAATAATGTTTTTTTTTAATATAGTGGTTATATGTCTCCTGAATATGCAATGGAAGGATTATTTTCAATAAAGTCTGATGTATACGGCTTTGGAGTTCTACTTCTTGAAATTATTGCCAGCAGAAAGAATGGCGGCCATTATGATGATATTACTTCTACTTTGGTTAAACATGTAAGTACTATCCATAAGGATCAACCACTCTAATATTTGATGTTCCGTCCAATCTATAATAATCTACTAATGTCTTTCAACCAATTCAGATTTGGGACTTATGGAGAGAGAATAGAGCCATGGAGATCATAGATCCATCCTTAAAATATGAGACATGCCTTGAATATGATGATGAAGTTCTAAAATGCATCCAGATTGGATTGTTATGCGTGCAAGAGTATGCGTCAGATAGGCCAACTATGCTAGAAGTCGTTTCGATGTTGGAGAATGACTCCACTCTTCCTCCTCCCAAACAACCAGCATTCGTTTTCAAGGAAACTACTCGTGATCATTCAAATCAATCAATTGGCGAAGAAGCAAATAATTCTTTATGTGGAATGAGTACTTCTGTGATTGAAGCTCGCTGAAGGCCATAACTCTTGAAAGTATACAAGATATTTGAATGCTCCTGTTACATACAGTGATACTGTTTTGAGAAGGGAATGGTTCCAAGACTTCCCTAAAATTGTGAATCATAATGACTCTTATATATGTACGCACACATATAACTATTTGAAGTCAATTTATACGAATGATGCCTGTATCTTTTACTATGGATTGAAATTACAAAATGAAATTGAGTGTGAAATTTGCTGGATCATAATTATGATTTGCATTAGTTATTAATTAATTGGCAAATTCATCTAGCATTCTAAGTCCATATTTTAACAAATAGAATAGAATGGAAGAAATATGGATAGAGGTATAAGGCATCGCATTTAAGGAGAGCTAGTTAATTCGGCATGCTTCATCAGTTGTAAATTAGGGGATTTCTTAGTGGTACTGCATGGTATGGTATCCTGAGCCAATATAAGCATCAAAGGTTATTTAAAATAAATGATAAGATTCTCATGTCAAATTTCATCTAACATCTATTTTTATCTATTACTTATATATCTAAAAAATTTATAATTTATAATTACTATTTCCTCCCAAAATGCCATAATGAATTTTTTTTTATTTCTTTTTTGGTAATTTCTTAAGCTTTGACATGATTTCTGATGAAAACAGCTGGATTGGGTGAATTGTTAATGATGTAGGACAGCCGAGGAGGAGGAACGCGAGACAAAGGAGAGGAAGTGAAAGGAAATTGAATACTCAATTCAAATTCGTAAAAAAATTGTATTTATAAGTTTCAACCTAATATTAGAAATATCTTGGTAAAAAAACTAATATTAGAAATAAGGGAAGACTGAATAATCCAAATTCCTATCTGGTCACTAAATTTCTGAAAATCCTAGTCATGTCACATGACTCAAAATTTTTTTTAAATGTAATAAAAAGACAATAATGTCCTTCTGTATTTAAGTTCTATGTTGTTAACAGGTCTGAATTCTAAATTAACAGATTTCTAGTCGCCATAATACCTGCAATAAGTATTGACTGCAACTTGATCACATTATAACTTTAGAAATTAACAAGTTTCATTACACTGTTAATAAGTTTGAATTTTAAATTAACAAATTTTCTGTAATATATACTTGCAATAAGCATTGACTAAAACTTGATATCACAATACAACATTAAAAGTTAACAAGTTATGTTATGTAATTAACAAATTTGAATTCTAAATTAACAACTTTTCTATATCTATAACACACTTGCAATAAGTATTGACTAAAAATAGATTACACCTTTAAAAATTAACAAGTTTCATTACACTATTAACAAGTTTGAATTCTAAATTAACAACTTTTCTTTTTTCATAACAAGTTTGTTATAAGCATGGACTAAAATTTAATCACAATACAATCTTAAAAATTAATAAATTTCATTATATTGTTAACAAGTTTAAATTCTAAATTAACAATTTCTTTCTTTAACATCTTAAATTTTATTTTAGTATTTATACCCAAAAAATTATTATTTCATAATATTAAATAATTAAAATTAAAGAAATAAATAATATAATATAATAATATATTATTATTATATTATAAAAAAATAAAAAGTAAAAAAAAGTAACTTTTCCACTGAAAGTTAAATGGAAAAGTAGAAGGAAATTTATGAGGGGAAGCTTCCCCTAATAAATGGGAGGGTATTAAATATACCCCCTCAATTTACTTCTTTATTTTGTCCCGCAAGGGAGGAAAAGAGAAAGAGAGAGCGAGGAGCAGGGAATAGCATTTCAGTTAGTCATTCGTGAAGGAAAGGGCAAGTTTTGGGAATGATTTAGGTACATAAAATAATTTCTTTTTATCAAAATATTTTTTTATAAATATTATATATATTTTAAACTTACTAATGACAGTAGTATTATAGTGATTAAAGAAAATTTTGGGAGTTAAGTATAGAGTAAGTATTGAGGTTTGACAATAGATAACCATAGAGGTAAATGACTAGTTAATTTTAATCCGTTTAGATTTGTCTATTTGTTGCTTTTAATATTTAAACTTAAATTTTGGTTGAAGATCTGTTATTTATGATATCTATATATTATAATTGTACCGATTAAAATTAAGTTAAATAATTTATTTGAGTTGTTTTACATATTATTGATATTTTAATTAGTTTAGAATGTGGAATGGGTTGAGGATATATTATTGAAAAATTTTGAAGCTGGAAACTTAAATTGTAAATTGAGAATTTTATACAATTAACTAAAATCAATATTTATTTATAATTTGAATGAGTTATTTGGGCGGAGGAAAAAATGTTAATTGAAGTTAGAATTTTTGGATAGTAAATATACGTGTGCATAAGAAAAGCAGCAACAACAATAATAAATTTAATGTAATTAAGTTATTTATTTGTTTGTATATTAAATAGTATCTGCATTATTTGCAGATAATTTTGTACTTCGGAGTTTGTAATTTGTGCTCTTATTTCTCAAGTTTGTGAGATTAAGCTTGAAGTAAAAGTAATTGAGGTTAATTTATTTGATATGCCTGATAAGGATTGTAAGGTTTTCTTAATCTTCTCTACTTAGCTAAATTATGAAGCATGTGTTTATTATTAAAATATGTATTTTCATATATTGTATTTGGTGAAGTGGGAAGTATGTTAATTCAAATATTATAGACTTGTATTGGTTTAATGTTTGTAACACGTTATACAACGAAGTTGATGTTATGTTATGAATTGTGAGATATATACTCTTTATTGCTAATTAAGATTGTTATAATGTTATTATGCACTGGGGTCATAAACAAAGATTGAGATTTTGTTATGTGGACAATAACTGTTTTTGAAACCTGCATGGCATGCCAGCACTACCAATCATAGTAGTTGGCCCTATTGTTAAGCCCTTGTAGTTCTTCCTTTTTCTTAGCCTGAAATTGAGAATGGGGTCTTGGGTAGACAACTTTTACACTATTGTCCATTATTAGGCAGTGTAGGTATAAGAAGGGGCCCATTGACTTGATATGAGTGGGATGACCTTTGGTTGGGTTACTCAATAGAAAAGGTCCAGGTCCTTGTCATGGAGTTATAACTATAAAGAGGAGTATGGTGGATAGGATGGACATTTATATTATTATGTTATTTGTTGCATATGTAGTTGATATTTTACCACTTAAAAATTCATGTATAAGCACTACTTCACCGACTTACTGTCTTGCTTGCATATCTTGCTTGCATATGTTATAAATTGATTGCTAGTTACTAAGACTTAATTGTTTTAGCCCTTTATTTATTAATACTTTCTAGGAGAGCTATCTAGTTCAGCTAAGTGTGAAGGGAAGCAACTAGAGGTATAGGCGGGCATAGCCTATTAGTCTTCTATTGGTCTGGGCTTGTAATATTATCTATAGTGCCATTTTAAGGCCCATATTTTTGTTAACATATACTTACTTTTGTTTGATTGTTGGATGATTGTATTTGATGGAGTGTTACTAGAATGGTCGAAGGCCACAGGACATTATTCATGTGTTTCTCTTATGGATTGAATATGTGTATGCTCATTGGGCTGAGCTAAGCACCTTCTGTTTCTTGTGCCCTAAGTCTTTTGTGAGATGAGTGTTTATGATAGGCTTATGGGTGATTACTATGTCTTGAGTTCTTATTATACTAGTTGTTAAACTTATGGGTGTTTTGTGTATCCTAAGTCTCTTAAGATGTTTTCAAAATAATATAAAGTCTTTATAATCCTGGTGGCGTTTTAACACTCTAATCTATTCTTGTTCTATCATGGTTACCCTCTTAAAATTATTTTATAATTTTTGTATTAAGAAAAGGTTTTTTCACTTTCTATCACACACATTCTCAACAAATACATAAAAGAATTTAAGCACAAAATAGCCTTGCAAATTACCCATTTTCATTATGCAATTAACAACTTTCAATTTGCAATTCACCAATTTCCAATTGTTTTATTGAATGATAGAAGATCATCATCTTTTTTTCATTTCTAATAATAGGGGTATTGAAATCATGTCATCAAATTTTAAAATCCCTTTATGTGTCATGTTGCCTGATGAGGGATTCTAGAAATTCAGTGACTGATCCTCATGTCGCTTTGGGGGTCAAATTAATTTTGATTTAAAATTCAATATAGTGATGCAAATAGGACCTAAGTTAACTAAAATCAAAACTACTATTAAAAAGGTTTTTTTTGTTGATTTTTGAAATTTAAAATCTATTTTACGAATAAACTGAAAACAATTCTAAATACTTCTTTTTGGATTTTCTTTTTATAAAGAGGAGTGAAAGGATTAAACTAAGACAATTTAGATGAATTCTCCCTTAGAGTTTTAAACCGTGCCTTACTTGTTTTTAAAGATTTATAGAGTTTTAATTTCCAATCAATCAATTAGCTTAAGCAACTACTTAGATTAATTAACCTGTAACAAAAAACCTTTAGCTGAAAGAGTTCAATACAGAATTAACAACCCTCACTAAATTCTACTGGAAGAGATTAATAACTGTGTACAATCAAAATTCAACAATCTTAACACTGAACAGAAATTAAGTCAAAAGATTAACGTTAAATTAACTCAATTCAATGTCAAACAACCAAGTCAAGCATTAAATAATTCAAACCAGTACACAATTATCAATATCAACATTCAAATCTCATTAAAACTGCACTGCAAACCTAATGTAACAACTCCATAATCATAATTCAATCATCTAACTAAGATATAAAATGTAATTAAGAACTTCCTAATTGATGCTCCACGATCTGACACAGTCTTTGCTCAAGGAGGATTTCAGATTCAGCTACTCGTGGGGATTTGGATTGCTCCACCGACCTCCTCCAACACTTCAATCATCATTGCAGCAGCTGAGAACTGGAAGGAGGGAGGTGGGTTGAGAGACTGAAGCAAGAGGAACAGAAGACGGAGGCCCCGTTCCTGATGAAGAGGCGGAGCAGGTCGTTCGCGATGATGGAGGAAGAATGAGGTCTGAGATTCACGGCGATGGAAGG